AAAACCAACCAAAGCCGTGACTTATTTCGAATCCCTCACTTTTGTTTCACAAAATTGTTTCGGTCTTCAAGAAGTGGGTTATTATTAGCCTTTGCTAGGCTTGCCGAGTCATGTTATGTTATCTTGAGTGTTATTAATGAATGTAGCATAGTGTTTCTCTCATTTCACACTGTCACTTGTATGAGTACTAGCCTACATATGATGGTCAGTTTGCGATTTGATGATAGAAGTAGGCGGTGATTTTTATCAAGCAAAATTTTTTTGTTTTGCAAATTAATACGGATTATATGGAAATGAATAAGGAATGAGATTAATACGGATTAGAATTAGAGATATATCAACAACAAAAGTTATCTGAACAATTACACATTGGTTAAAACAAAACAAAAAAATAGGTTGATTGTCCAATCCGGTGCAAATGAAATATTAACAAAACCAATTTAGGAAACATTACAATTTTGTAATTTATAATTTTATTAAATTATGATATGCATAATACATAGATAAACATGTGTTGGGTGTAATAAATTCACCAGATAGTCACTACCAAAGCGTGGTTCATAAGACAGAGGTTAAGCAGATCAGACTCGCTGTTATCTCTTCGCTTCAAGAAGCTTTTAGCAGTCTGTGACAGTGAACACAAAGTCGCAGGTCATGGCACTGACCATGTCACTGCATTCGACATAACTGGTGGCATTGACAAACAGTCTTAAGCAGCACCGAAGTTCGGATTATGGATTAACCACCGACCGACACATTTAATACAAATTGATCAATAAAGTTAACGTTTTCTCGTCATTCCGTAGAACTATTTTCCATTCGATTCGGTTAAATTTTACTCAAACAACATGTATAAAAATATTTAGAATGAGACATATCCAATTTCCGGGGTTGATTGGTTATGTTATTAAGAGATCATTCAATACTTATAAGAATGAAGGTGAGAAGACGTCTGAAGTCACCTTTGCATTTAGTGATAGGAGCTCTGTTGTGGGAAATGAGGTGTATCTTGGATAACCAGATTGCTTCCTCCGACTTGATCTGGATTTGGCCGACATCAGAGGAGAGGCCAATTTTTGGCATACTCAATAAAATCTGCTTAGTTTCGTGCATTCTTCCATTCTATACCGTTGTCTTTGGTTCTTTGATTATCAAACTTGAAAACATATTTTATTTGACTCGTTCAGTTCGTTCTAGATTTATTAAATTGCTATTGTAAACAAATTGCCTCTACCTAGATTTATTGAATGTTTCGACTTTTTCTCTTGGATGGCCCGATATCGCCCCGTTTAAGCTACCAATCGGATTTGAAACCAATTAATAACATTATTAGAACTACAAACTGTAATTCTTTCATGTTAATTTTTTTTTTTAATTAATCACCAAAACTTCTAAATTGAACAAATGTTGAAACTTTCCACGCACTAAACTTCATATTCTGTGAGATAATGTACACATCCAATCAGAAATGTATTACATTGTTCTAGCGGGTGTCTTAATCTTATCCAAATTTGATTGGTTTCAACATCTTTGTACAAATAATCAACGATTCGCTTAATTATCTTCACAATAAAATATGTATATACATTATACTTATCTTTTTGGGTTGTTCTTTCGTATTGTCTTAAACAAAACGTGACATACATATTTAATTCAACGAGGAAACCCTAACAATATAATGATATATCAATTTTTAGAAAGAGAAAAAGTCAGATTAAATTTATATAAATTTATTTATTTCGAATGGAGAAGTATGGTTATAAGTCGTGTCAAGATGTGTGTTCTTCATCTCCACCTAAATAAAACGAACTATTTTATTCGTGTTTTTCTTAAGACAAAGGTAGATTTGCTATTTTGAATTAATATTTCTTGGTGGCTGATAACTACTCCCAACTTAATCATATCTATACTCCAACCTCGATTTCGTCTTTCCGTTATTAACTTATTATACTTCACCATTAAAGAAACTAAACTAAAACTTTATTGTAAAAGATAACGTTTCATAAAACCATTCGTTACCAACAAGGGTTCATCATCATCACAAGTTACATACATGAGTCAAAATAGTCTGCATGAAATTACAAGTGCGTGTATTAGGAAAATTCATTTGGTGATGCATATATTTCCGCATTAATAACATATTTTCTTAGGTTAACAATAAAACTTCTTAATCTTTATTTAAGACCCCTAATACAAAAAAAATTGTGTGTGACGATTGCAAATTCCACAAATTACTTTTTTTTTTATCTATAGATCCTTCGATTACGATTTTTTTTTTAGATTGATCAGGATAAAGTATTGTCTCAATACAAAATCTTGCAATTTAGACAATACCATAGCAAAAATGAGTATGAATCAAAACTAGACCAGCTTGGTATATAATTATTGGTTTTCGTTCAGATTACGTTTAAATACACAACATATCTAACTTAAATGTGTTTTCTAAAATGAATTTAAGTTTCTGCTTAAATTTAATCGATTGGTTTTGATTTAATTTTCTTCAAAATTAAGAAAGTGAGACCAAACTTACCGAATATTTTTAAGTTTGTTTGTCTGGATTAAGCATCCTTAAAATAAATATAGAAAACTATATCCTATATAAAAACAAAAATACAATCTTAGTTTTGGTATACAAGAAAAAGTTGGGATGTCTTAATTAATTTTCACATTTGGCTCAAGCAAGAGCTCTAACTGATTAGTAAGTTCTACATGTTATTAACATATATGATCCACCTTAAAGTACATGTTGTACGGACTAATTAGCATAAACCCTAAGAGGCAGAGTTTCCAACAGACAAAAAGTCGAAAAAGGGAACACAATTCTCGTTGTGATTATGGCTACGTGGATCGACATCTTCTTCTTTGTCTTTTCTTGAATTGTCTATCACTTCGGGTTTCTTCGAATCCGTGTTTACTTGAAGAAAATTGTAGAACTCCGTTGGCCTTTTGGTTTGGTCTATTGCTCCTGAGCAAATAATCATGTCCAAAAGTTATTTTGTAGAAGTTTTACAATTAATAATCGTAAACACAAGCAAGTGTGTGTACATACTACATATATGCATGTAAATATGATAATCATGTTCGTTTCAAACTATGATTTAAAGATTCTTTACAAATTTTATGATGAGAAATAAATTCAATATTTTCAGAAAAGAACATGATCTATAATCCATATACACTCAAGAAAAAATAGTGATTCTATACAAATGCACCAGCGACTACTTAAAAAGACGAATGTACATATTATATCTAATGGTTATGATTTTGTAGTTTATATATTCCTATAGGTATTCACTCAAATTATACGTAGTATATATACACATCACACATGTTTACGTTCATGCATCGTCTATCTAGCTACATAAACAAACAAATTTAAACCATATTTGATTTATTTACCTTCATTGAGTGGAATATTACTATTCCGAAGCCCAATCTTTCCGGTCAAGAACTCTTTGAGGAATTGAAAATGATTGATATGAGAGAATTGATAAGGATAATTGATAGTGGTTACGGTTGGCAATCGACTCTTCTTGTCGCAGTCGTTATAACTCATCATCCCTGTCGCAGCCACCGCGCCATCATGGCCAAGACCACGTGGACGCATCTTGGACCGTTCTCGGCCACGACGAGCCATGATGACGTGCCAATGGTTTTTAACGGCATTATCGGTTCGACCAGGGAAAAATCTAGCGATCACTGACCATCTGTTCCCATGGATCCGATGAGACGCTAAAAGCCTCTCTTCTTCTTCCTCCGTGAAAGGGTTTCGATTAATTCTAGGATCCAATTGGTTAAACCATCTCAACCTACAACTCTTACCTGAAAATGTAAAAAAACATCCAAACCAAACCAAACATAGTAGTTATTATATTAATCCCTGGTTAATTTTGTTAATTAACGAATTAAAAGTAAATGAATTCTGAGCTAATATTTACCAGATCGACCAGAGAGCTTTTGAGCTATGGCGTTCCAATTATGAGGACCGAATTGTTCGACGAGTTCTCTTAGCTTCTCATCCTCTGCAGGTCTCCAGTGGCCTCGACTACACATCATTCTTTCTTCTCCTTCGATTTATGTGATCTTATGTAAATCACAAATATTTATACATAGAAACCCTAGGTTTGATGTAGGTGAGGGAAGATGGGTATGTAGGAACAAGAAGAAAGCTGAAGAGCAACAGCACCG